GATTTTGTTTACACGCCATTCTAGATGGCAGGAAACCATACACTCCGTATTGCAAGCATACTCCGTTCCTGGTATTTTAATATTGACTTAGCTTCGATGTAGCGTTAATATACTTTTGTTTTGTGTGCCTCAACACTATCACATGACAGTAAAATTTTATGGTGATACTGTGAAAGATATTCGAGCCAGCCGATCATATTAAAAAATACTTAGCATTAACATTAGCAAATTATATTTTACATAACAATATGACTATAGATTAGAAAGTTAAAGCCAACTCTTTCTATAATGAACCTTTGGTTCTGAACAAATCACAAAGTCATTATAACATTTACTGTTTCTTAAAAGCCTACACTTTTTTATACCCAATTAATCTTAAAATTTTAAAACTTTGTGTTTGTTATATCCAGAGTTTACTGTATATATTGAAATTGATCAAGGAAGACTTTTGTTAGGAGAAAATAAAATATTTTTCTAGATAATAATTATTCTCTAATCATGCCTTTCTAAGTTCATACATATAAATATAAATATACACTATATAAGTGCTTTACACTATATAACATGATTTTAGTATTTTTTTTTGAAATTGGTTAAGATTCTGAAATACGTTCAAGTATAATTTTAAACTCCAAACATTTGTGTACTTTGTGTGATTTTTTTTTTCATTTAAATATATTTTTTTTGATCACACTTTTTTCTGCACGTGTTTTCTTTCTTTTATTCTTTTTTTAACATTTATATAACAAGATAACTAAACCCAAATTAAGCTATATTTATTTTTCAAAGTTGCTTAAAATGGATACAACAGATAACATGTTGTTCGAACTAATTGATATGGATTCAACAGTTAATATATCTTTTGAGTTGACTGAAATCATTAAAACCAGTAATATGTCTTTCGAATTAACTGAAGCAAATACAAATGAAATACTTTTTGAATCAAATATATTAGAAACTGGTAATGTGACAACTGAGGCAGTTTTACAAAGTTCAGAAACAGCAAGAGAGCGTTGCAACCGCTTAGCTAGAGAACATTATGCTCAAAAAATGGTGCAAACAACTATGACTTTAGCAGATGAAAATATGGAAAGTGCACGTAAATGTAAAAACCGGCTTGCTAAAGAATCTTACGCATGTCGTAATATTACTCTTACTACCCAACAAACTGAACACTTTGTATTAACCGAAATAGATACAAATGAAATATATTTTGAATCAAATGAATTAAGGACTGCTAAAGAGACAGCTGAGGGTGGCATACAAAATTCTAAAGCAGCAAGAGAGCGTCACAATCGATTGGCCAGAGAATATTATGCACGTAAAATGGCTCAAGAAAAGATATGTCCAGAGGATGAAAATAGTAAAAGTGCACGTGAACGTAAAAACCGGCTTGAAAGAGAAGCTTATGCGTATCACAAGACTACTCTTACCACCCAACAGATTATTTAGTGACGTATTCATGATCAAGAAACTTATACACAATGAATAGAAGTTGAAACAACTGAACTTGCAGAAGAACGAAGATCAAAATGCAGAAAAACTAATCATCGTGCTTCGAGTGCAGTTCGTCTGATTCAATATGATAGCAGTACTGTTTCTTTGCATAATCTTGGTTCACTGAATGTTGAGTGTAGACAATGTCATGCTTTGCACTGGATGAACAAAAAGATTGCTGGAACAGTCAAGAATCCAGTTTTCAGCACATGCTGTGCAAAAGGAAAGGTTTATTTGCAACCATTAGCTCCAACACTACCGATTTTGCATTCTTTATTAACTGAAAATAATGCACGTTCTCAAGATTTTTAGAAAAAAGTCTGCAAGTTTAACTCAATTCTCGCATTTACATCAATAGGTACAAATATTGATGAACAAATTACTGGAACTAGCGGTATATATTCTTTTCGAATTTATGGAGAGATGTACCACCAAATAGGTTCACTTTTACCAGAAGATCCTAATAAACCAAAAGTTTGCCAAATTTATCTATACGATACTGACGAGTAGCATTTATATCGGAAACGTATTATGCCTGATTTAGATCTTTCTACACTTGCAGAGCTCCAAGCAATGCTTCATGAGGTGAATCCATACATTCAAGTCTTTAGACAAGCGGCACAGCTGTTGCGTGATAAGCCATTACTAGATTTGAAAATGACAATAATTAAAGCACGTGACGAATGAGAGTATGCTGTGCTAACTGCATCAGAAATTGCTATGCTCATGGTTGGAAATGGTAAAGATCCTGAACCTTTAGACCGTGATA